GTAATAAAAAATGAAAAAGAACGAAATAAAAATAAGAAAAGTTACAGAAAAAGAATAAAGGAAGTTAAAAGAGAGAAGAAAAAAGGTTAAGAAAGGAAGGAGGAGATATCTGTCATCAGGTTTGTAGCGCCGTGTAGTCTGGTCGAAGTTTACAAACGTTTCAGGGTGATTCATAATGTAAATTTTACATCAAATCAGAGCAAACACGACGTTTTTCGACCTGTTAGTAGTGCGACACTGACTACCCAGGCCGCATACGTCATAGGGACTGATTTCACTGTCGCGCACAGTAAACGAATTTATAAAAGAAATACGAAAGAATAAAAAGAAAGGAAGGAAAAGAAAAAGAAAGAATAAAAGAAAAAAGAAAAGTGATAGAAAATTAAGAAAGTGAGGAGAGGAAGGAGTGTCGAAACACTGAAAGAAACTCAGCGGATTGATCAAAGTTTCTCACAAGCAAGAATTCAATTTGCTATGAGGAAGACGAAATGTGTACAATCGCCAGTATTTTTCGGTTATTTTGGGACCAGACACAGATATCTACGAAGTTCTGCGGTGAGCCGAACCAGGGCGAACACAAGAACAACGATTTGAAAGATCTGTTGCCTTCTGAACTGCAGTAGCGTCTTCGTTAAAATGTAGGCGAATATTACCTCTAATAAGAATCGCCAAGTTCCCTACCAAATCGATTGTGACAGAAGTTTATATGAACGTTTAGCGCTCTTCTAATATATCACACTCTGTGATACAAAAATCTAGCATTGATCTAATACTTCTATTTCGGAGACACTTGTTATTGTACAAAATACGAGTGAGAAAATGTCCTTCTATGGGGTACGCATATTTTGAAAATGTTCTTTAATTTTTCCCCATTTCAAATTCCGCGTCACTGAAACCTAACCATACAGTACCCAGAAATTACATTACTTTCTAAATTAAACTGTTTCAAATAAAAGTTGTGAATCTAAATGAGATCTATACTTTACGAAATGCACTAATCCCTTACGATATGCTGTTTTACAAAAATATTATATAAAATTATATTCAGGCTCAATGGAGATTGGACGTTACAGGCGTAACCAGCCTTTAATTTATCAGAACAAATTTCTTCTGACAACTTTTACTGTAGGCCCCACCAATACTAAAAATTATACGACGTGATTTTAAAAATGCAGGCGCTGTATTACGGTCCGGTTCGGATAGATTATGCTTCGCACTTCATAACTCATAGTATCGTTATATTTAAGAGCCCGGACAGCTGTTACTACCGGCCTGAATTTGATTCCCAGCTGGTTAAAGATTCTTCTGTTCGCCACCAAGCTGAGAACGGCTCGGAAGCCCGCCCGGCCTTCTGACCAATGGTACATGGGAATTTCTCATCTGTGGTAAAGCTGACCACGTACTTCGACCTAGTACTGAAGTTAAGAATTCGTACAGCGTTTTCTCCGCGCTGCTGTACACCAGGTGATTTTGTCACAAATTGTTTCCCGGTTGTGCAGTCTGTAGCCAGTCACTTCACTGACTTCAGCTTGCCCGATTCAGAAATGTGCAACACCCGTAATATCAACAAGATTCCCTGTATAGGATTTGAGGTTTTCACGGCGCAACAACCCAGAAGACAGCCATGTTCAACGAGCGTGCCTCCGTACTGTGAAGCTTTAATACGGAACCGGTCAACCAGGTATGAATAGTTTGACGAGCTTCGTGGTATCGGCTGTTTTATAGATTGAACTCTTGAAGGTGTACAAGTAGAAACCCTCACACACAGCTTAGCTGTTGGGGGACGCCAGTTCTTAGCATCGGTTATTAGATTGCTTATATTAGTATAGGGTATACTGAATAAAAATTTACTTGGATATTATCCATCGTCTAGTAAATATAAAACGTAAAAACGACGTTTCGGAGATGGGACCACTAGATAGAGCTAATCCCTATCTCCGGACCTATTATCCATCGTCTAGTAAATATAAAACGTAAAA